ACTGACAGCTAGTTATAAATCTATGAACAAGAAGAAAATAAATGTACTGGAGACCAATTAAAAGTTCCCACTTATAAATAAAATACAAAGAATATTGCTTAAGAAACATAGACTAAGACACAATTACAAAATAACAGATAATTTTAGAAGTAAAATGACGTAAATAACAATACATACTTGTAATATACATTAGTTGACGAAAAGGTTTTAATCACTATGTTTAATAGGTGTCACTTCACACGTGACACTAACTAATAAACAATAACATAGTGACGTGACAAAATACTACCCCTGCGAGAGAGCCGTGAACTGAAAAAGTTTGAGAACAACTGACCTATACAAAAAATGATACACAATTTATTTTTCATAAGATAATAATATATTAATTATTTACCATTGTAGTGGCGGAAAATACATTGGCTATTTAATTTTATAAGACTGAAGGAAAAACCAAGGAGTTATTAAAATATCGTAATGAATGTCGTGAATTAAAGTCCACCGCAGAATATGGGACTCTCCCAGTGTAGTAGATTTGAAATTATCGTCACTCTTGTTAGGCGCATTGTCGATCGCAGTGTCAGAGGTGTTACACCTTGGGCTCTGTTGCTCGGCCGCTGGTCTGGCTAGTTTGTGACTGGAGTACAAGAGATGGTTATACCACCATCTATCGGAAGCCGTAAGATTTTCGTCATGTGATGGCATATAAGAGTAACCGATACCCCATTTAGAGATGCTGTAGTTATATTATGGTTGTAGCATATATAATAGGTTGGCTCGATCGGGGAAGGACAACGCTTTCAAAGAATACCAGCGTAAAATAACAGATTAATACTGCTGTGTTTAGTATGGTGAGTGTAGAGATCCGGGGACCCTTTTTTACTGGAAACGAGGCATTCCATCTTAGTCCTCGCATGGTGACAACGCATCTGCGTTTTGATTCTTAATCGAGGATAAATGTAGATGTTTATGGGTGCATTCACTTACCATCATGTGAACTATGTGCTTGTTTGTCACCTTCGATCAACTATACCAAATAGATGTAGCGGGTCGGCGCAGTCCAGAAATCCATCTCAGTAAATAAGAGCGCACATGAGACGTGAGCTTCTTGCACGTGAGAGTGTAGCACCTTTGGTCGCAAGGCAATAACAGGAAAAAAGAACTTTATTGTGTTATAACTTAAGGTTGATTTCACACTAAAATGTTATTTAATTTATGTCTTTTCATAGTTTATATTCATGCGGACAGTATTTAGCTATGATTTTGTACGTAACGCCGTTATCTATTTGGTATTGTTGATCGAAGTTTGTCACCCTTATCCTATAAAAAAAACAGGTACTCGCCGGCAACTTATACTACTTCTTGGCTGTACGCATGACGAACGATGTAAGCTAGCAAACCGTTTGGTTTGAATGCGTGGTAAGTCAACAACGAAAGGATGGAAGGTATTTATTATATATGTACAGTAGTATTATATATTTATATATGGAGGGGAGGAATTAAATTATTCAATTCCTGCGCACACTCTTCTTACCTTACTCAATATAAATTATCAATCCCGGCTTCCGATAAGCTTGACATACTATCACCCAGGTGCATAAAATGCCATGGTAGCTTAGATGGTTAGGGCTTGCTGTAACTTACACAGTAGGTGAGTAAACCGGGTTCAATCCCCGTCGGCACCAATGACAACTTTTGTTTGTAATTTTAAGTGCTGGTTTACCACGTGCTCTGCGGTGAAGGAAAATATGGTGAGGAAACCTGTATGTCTGAGAAATAAGAAAACAAATATTTCGATAACTAATAGAATCAGGCGTTACTTTTATTTTACTTTCATTATATTAAAGATGTTAAGAATTACTTTGCAACTATTCACTCAATAAAATAAAATTATGTGTCTTACCTAGTTTGAAGAGTAATACTTAGCGGTCAGCCACAGCGCAGTCTACATCACCTGAGGATGCCTCGTGTAGATGTGAAACACGTGCCGTATTATCGTCGATGGTGTGTCCTTCCTAGTCTAGTGGTGTTGGGAGTAGCGGTGCTGGGATTAGTGGTGACGGGATCAGTGCACGCAATTGAGGAAGGGCGGGAGGTTAACATCTTTAAAATATTTCGATGACGTGTGAAGTTCGGCAACGCGCATTGGGGCAGCGCGGCGGACACTTCCGTGCCCTAAAACCCACTCAATAATAAAGGGAGGCCTATGCCCAGCAGTGGGAGGTACATAGGCCGTAACTTTACTAGGCGACCGAGCTTTGCTTGTTGCTAAAATGAATAAAATTTTCTCAGAAAATACATATCTGCCCAGAAAAAAATCTAAAGTAAATTATCTAAGTATAAAATTTCATCCAAATTGTTAGAAACGTTTCCGAAAAACCAAAAATATATAAATGTACATATAATACATTTTTCTTTTTAATTTTATATATTCATTAAAGTATCTATTAGATAGGTTTGATTGTGTTCGTCATCAGCCTGCGACAGTCCACCGCTGGACTTAGACCTCTCTCACGACGACTCTTCACTTAGCCCGATCTTCAACTTCACGCATCCAGTTGCTGCCAGCTGCCTTGCGCAGTCGTCGCTCCATCTAACCAGGGGGCGTCCCACACTACGTTAACCCAAACGCGGTCTCTACTCTATGACACGCCTACTCCAACGGTTATCGCTTCTGCGACAAATGTGACCAGCCCATTGCGACTTCAGCCTGCAAATACGGAAGGCTACGTCGTTGACCTTGGTTCTCCGGCGGATTTCTTTGCGTACGATTGTATACCGATTAAAATGAAATAAAAATGAACTATGATAAATTATTTTACGACCAAAGCTTTGAGCCCCCAATTAAAAAGTGCGCATAGCGACCTATAAATATACGAGTACGTAACTCCGCAAACAAAACAGCTGGCGACATTGCAAGATTTGAACTCGCGCACTCCATTTTAAAATGTACGTAAAATGGAACATGGAGAAAACTATATTTCTCAGAAACGCGACTTAGCTAGATCAATTTATTCGTCTCCGTAAAAAAAACTTTATTTTAAAGTCCATCTATCACTATTTTCGAGAACGCAATTATAAATAAACAAATTAAAAATATATGGATATAGCTCGTATGTATAGTAGTCTTGTTTCACAATTGTAAAATTAAAACTTGGTCGATCGCATTTAGAAATATTTTGCTGTTGTTCTATCTGCCTACTATTAATAATTATATATAGATTCACGACGTTCATTACGATTTTTTTATAACTCCTTGGTTTTTCCTTCAGTCTTATAAAACTGAATAGCCCAATTTATGTTCCTCCACTTCAACGGGAAATTAAAAGTAATTCATATTATTATTATCTTATGAAAAAGAAATCGTATATCATTTTTTGTATAGGACAGGTGTTGCCAAACTTTTTCAGTTCACGGAGTACTCGCAGGTATAACATTTTGTCACGGCGCGGCGCTTTTGTCAAAATATGTGTATAATGACACCAATAAAACATAGTAATTACAACCCTTTCAAAAGAAAACTATAAAATGAATGAAGCAAAAAATAAAAAGAAAAGGAAGCGAAAAATTTCAACGACCTAGTGTGTATTTATGTGTTTGTCTGTGGCATCGCAGCTCCCAAACGAATGAACGAATGAATGATTAAGTGGTGAGTGTTCTTATCTATAACTCATCAAAATCTCTTCAGCCGTTTGATGATCATCAGCTCTTTTGGTTTCGGGGTTTTTCTTAATTTTCAATTTAATATTATTAATGATTTCTTATATTTACGCGAACACTACACATTGAAATAATACTAGTTTTTTATGGAATTTATCGCGTATATTTAACTTTTTAATTACCCGACGTTTCGAGAGCTTTACAGCACCCATGGTCACGGGAAGGACTGAGATGTTCAACGTCCAGCTGTCATAGTTAACCGCGGTTACCATAGATTAAAATTTAACTTTTGTTCCGATCTACACAGTATGAACTTAAGGTATCATGGAGTCTTGCAGTTGTATGCTTGGGTTGGGATTTAATTTTATTTATTATAGGATCCCAAGCAGATGGTAGCACCCAGCCATCTTCTCTATTGAAATTAGGATGTTTTTTGATTTCAATAGCCTCGCGAATCATCCTTGGAAGGAATCGGTGTTCTTTAGCGAGGATTTGTGGTCTATCAAATCTGATGTAGTGACGGGGGCGATCCTGTACATGTTCACAAGGGAAGTCTGCAGTCTGTGAACATGTACAGGATCGCCCCCGTTACTACATCAGATTTGATAGACCACAAATCCTCGCTAAAGAACACCGATTCCTTCCAAGGATGATTCGCGAGGCTATTGAAATCAAAAAACATCCTAATTTCAATAGAGAAGATGGCTGGGTGCTACCATCTGCTTGGGATCCTATAATAAATAAAATTAAATCCCAACCCAAGCATACAACTGCAAGACTCCATGATACCTTAAGTTCATACTGTGTAGATCGGAACAAAAGTTAAATTTTAATCTATGGTAACCGCGGTTAACTATGACAGCTGGACGTTGAACATCTCAGTCCTTCCCGTGACCATGGGTGCTGTAAAGCTCTCGAAACGTCGGGTAATTAAAAAGTTAAATATACGCGATAAATTCCGTAAAAACTAGTATTATTTTAATATTATTTACTTCTTTATCTCATTAAATTAAAAAGAAGCCTACGCCATTCAATGGAAAGTTTAGGTGAACGACTTTAAATATTTAAGTTAATTTTATTATTTTTTACTTTACTATCGTCATCTCGTGAAATTCCACTTGAGATTCCCCATCGTATTGAGAATTTAACTTAGTGTCACGACTAGCAGATATTTTGACATATCTATACGGGAACCTGGCGATCTAAGAATATTAGGTCTGACTTAGGAAAATATTAATCATCATCAATCGGAACCATAGGATCTCCCATATATGCATCTTACAACAACTATGGGACGAAATGCATTCTCTTTTAAACGTAATAATTTCTTTTTCAGATCAAAAATGGAGTTGAAATCGCCGAAGGCGAAGAAAAAGTTGCCGAAATTATTATCTTGGAAGAAAATGTTTCGCACACCATTCCTGTTACTGCTCCTTATTGGTACATCCACCTGTGACAATAGTGACACAAGTGATAACAGTGATATATCGCTCAGTTTTGACAATTCTCTATCGAACAGTTCAGTTTTAAATAACAACCGTTTTAGGCTGAGGCATTATCATATTCAGCCTAATGAAAGTCTAGATGAGAAACAAGTGCTCAGTGATATAAAATACTTAAGGCGTCATTTAAATAGGGAAATAATTAACTTTGTGATGACTGACGTACTCGTAGATGGTGAGGTGGAGAATCGCGTTCACTACAATGGTATTACTGCAAAGGAGACATCTGTTGGTATTGACGGGTAAGTTTGTCATGCTTTATTTAATATTAAATCCTTGGATGATTTTCAATTAAAATGTTTAAAAGTTTTGAGACACAGACACTATTCATCATCATCATCATCATCATTACCGCCCATCGAAAGTGTTCTGCTAAACATAGGCTTGCCCGGATGAATGCCATAAAGCACGGCCGTGATCCACCTGCATCCATCGACTTTTTGCATCCCTTACAAGGTCGTCAGTGGACTGAGGCTACCATACGAAAACCTTTCTTCCCCATCGGTTGTTGGTTCTTCGAGCTACCGAACTAACACTTCTTCAGCTTACTGATCCGTTGGGTTATGACGGTTACTCTGGTTTAGATTTCCTCATTACAAAGCTCATCATGCAGAGAAACTCCGAGCATAGCCCTAACCCACCTTTCGATCGAAGTTCGACTTACCACGTCTACGTCAACAACTTCGGTCGCAAATTACATGGCATAGTATTAATTCTATGCATAAATGTGTTAATTTATTTAATCGATCAAATAGATATATAGATTGTAATAGATATAAAATAAGATATTTAAATTATTACATCTTCATAGACTTGTTCGCCGTTGTTATGGCAAAATGGCCAGTAGGTATCTTACTATCCTTTAAACGCTGTAAAATAAGTTGTTATTTTCTACCTGCACTGTAAAGAAAATACTAGTAAGCACAATTTATTAAGCAAGCGTGAAAACGCTGGCTCCGATATCCACCAATAATTTAATTATTAAATTGAATTATGTATATTACATTTCTAATTTAAAACTAAAAGATACTATCTAAGTTATTTCAACATGCCTAAATCAAACAAACCTCCATGATCATACATTCGTTAATCCCACCAGAGGACAAAGAAAAAACATTTGGCCTTATGTGACAAAAATAATCTAAACTAACGTGAAGTCATCACAACAGCGCCATCTACCGGGTCCAACTATGCCTATTACCTTCGCGGTAGTGCAAGCAATATGCTGACAAAGCTTAACCGCAATCTGATGAACGGTATGGTAGCGCATAAAATACGAAAACGAGAGATGCGTTTGTTGTTGAGATGATATTTACATAGCCTACGGGAAAATGGGGTAATGAATTCTTCCCGTCTTCGGCAAAATGATACCACCGTATCTTTTGTATCTAGTTTTATTAATACAATAACGGTGACAAACGATCACACAGTCTGTGTGCTACAGTAAGTGAATGCTGTGGCCCATAGACATCTACATTTATCCTCGATTAAGAATCAAACTGCAGATGCGCTGTCACCCCTGAGGACTAAGATAGAATGCCTCGTTTCTAGTAAAAAAAAGAGGCTCCGGTTCTCTACACTCACCATACGAAACACAGCAGCATTAAACTACTATTACTTCTACTTCGTATTCTGTGAGAGCGTGGCCCTTCCCCGGTAGAGTCGACCCATTCATGCTACAACTATACTACTAATATAACTGCAGCATACTACGTAGACCACCACGTAGCACGTAGAGGTGTGATGAATTATTCCCGTCTTACTATACCACCGCAGCTTTTGTATCTAGTTGATTTCTTAGAGACCAAAAACAACTAAGTCCTTCCATTAAAGCCTATAAAAGTCCACACAAACTTAACACAGGCACCCCCCACAGATTGCCTCATAGGAGGTATTATGCTTGGACGGGTTGGCGACCGCGGTTTTTTATTGTTTCGAGTTGTTATCAAGAAGATAATTTTGAATACTAGCGTAAAATAGCAGGTTAATACTGCTGTGTTTCGTATGGTGAGTGAACCGGACTCGCTTTTTACTGGAAACAAGGCATTCCATCTTAGTCCTCACGGTTGTCAATGCATCTGTATTTTGATTCTTAACGGGGGATAAATGTAGATGTCTTTGGGCCACAGCATCCATTTACCATCAGGTAGACCACTTGTTCACAACTTAAAAAATGTGCTCGTTTGTCACCCACTCATTTGTCCCTTCATATAACTCCTACGGAAAGATATGAGGTAGTGCCGAGCTTAAACGGTAGGAATTCAGCTTTTTTTGGTCTAGTTGAAGCACTTTTTTGTTACCGTTATGTCTTGAATGAAGATCGTTGTTATTTTTCACATGAACTGCCTGAACTGAAATATTTTTGTTTTTCTTTTTTTTTTATTAAAAAAATCTTTATTGATATAATGATACAGTTGGCAGACATCTTTACTAGTCAACCACGAGCTAAGCAGAGAAACTTAAGCAAGTGCTGTAAAAACATGAGAATATCTACACGTAAATGTAAATATAAAATTATATATACCATAGGTGTAAATACGATTATAAATATCTTTCTATCTTTCCTCATATACATAGATAACTTTTTTTATAGGACAGGGTGACAAACGAGCACACAGTCCACCTGATGGTAAGTGGTTTCTGTGGCCCATAGACATCTACATCTATCCTCGATTACAAATCAAAATGCAGATGCGTTGTCACCCGTGAGGACTAAAATGGAATGCCTCGTTTCCAGTAAAGAGGGTCTACGGTTCTGTACACTCATCATACGAAACACCGCAGCATTAAGCTAGTATTTTACGCTGTATTCTGTGAGAGCGTGTTCCTTCCCAGGTCGAGCCGACCCATTCGTGCTACAACTATACTACTAATATAACTGCAGCATGGCTCTACCGCGAATTTCGAACATAACTTCATCTGCACATTTATACCTAGCCACATATTAATAAAATTGAGGTCTATTTAATATCAAAGTAACTGCCTTATATGCCATTAAACCATAAACAACCATTTGTTAAATTGTATGTGTTTGATCTTCGAGATGACAGAACAGTGTGTAATGAAACTTGATGAACAGATAAAGAGCCTTTCTAAAAGCCCGGCAACGCACCTGCAATTCCCCTGGTGTTGCGGTTGATCATGGGCGGCGGTAGTCACTTAACATCAGGTGAGCCGCATACTCGTTTGCCCCCTCTTCTACAAAAAAACAGAGTAATGTCAGAAGTGATCTAGGCTACAGGTTTTTAAGAACAAATATTTTTCCTTGCGAAATTGAACAATTGTTAAAATAAGTGGTTCTATTTTATAGAATAAGTGGTGACAAACGAGCACACAGTCCACCTGATGGTAATTAGATGCTGTGGCCCATAGACATCTACATCAATCCTCAATTAAGAATTACAATACAGATGCGTTGTCACCCGTGATGACGGAGAAGGAAAGCCTCGTTTCCAGTAAAGTAGGTCTCAGTTTCCAGTAAAGACTCACAGAATACTAGCGTTAAAAAAAGTATTGGTATTCTGTGAGTCTTAAATCTAAGTAACACCTCATCAATCAATTGTTGCTATAAAGTAATGCGAATAAAATTATCTTTGTTTTGCAAAAGAGAGCTATTTAGAACGTAAGCCAAAGGAGTCTCATATTGAAAAAATTTAAAGAAATAAATATATTAACATCAGTTACTATACTTGTTTCTTTAAATTATAATATAATATAACATTCTGTAAATACTAAGAATAAACACAAGGAAAAAATATACGCTTTAACCATAAAGTCCCATAAAATATACAGAACCTATAATTATACAAAAATTTTAAATTTTTAACTAAGCAAAAGTTTAATTTTATTTTAAATACACAATAAATAATAACCCCTGGGAATGATATGATCGTTGATCGCTACCTGGGAATACGCGTGTGCGCAAGCACGCTCTATTTCCTCACTCTCATAATCCGTTGGGACGGGAATCCTATAGACCGAAGAGAGATCAGACGCAGGACCAATGGCTCTACATGCCTTACTGCCACCTTTCTAACTATTACTGAGGATTTCTTGACGGATACACCCAATAACCGATTTTGGTCCGACCCGGGCTTCGAACCCGGAACTTTAGCGATCGTGCTTAGTGTGACCACTAAACCAACGAGGCAGACAATATGTTATTTATTTCAGTGGATGCAATATATCGTTTCTATCTCATTTCAAGTTATTTTTAGATGAAAGAACGCGGTGCCAATTGCTATGGGTTAGTGTTATCTTTACATTTGTTTAGTGTTACACGTGTTGTGTTGTTACGATCCATATAAATACGTAAAAAGTAAAGTATGTCTGTCTGTACGGAAATAACTTCGATCGGCTACTCAGGGGCTAAACGCTCGCAGGAAATTTCATAGTACGCGAGTAACGGGTTCGATCCCCGCGGCAGCAATTAATTTGTTAATAGCATTTCAAAGTGCTGCTTAATATGCTCGGTGGTGTATCAAAATATTGTGAAGAGACTTGCTTGTCTGAGAAATTTATAACTTTAAGCGAACACATTTGAATCCGTTGATATTGGGTCAGTGCGACGCTCTTCATACCATATAAGTCATATAACCCTCTCAAATAGAAACTGTAACTTTTTTTAGATAGTAAAATTGTTAGATATCATTATAGATCAGCTGTTGGCGATCTTGACTGACAAGTAAGTAGGAGAATAAGAGACATTCAAAATACTTACTACACTGTCTCGGTAACCCAAAGTGGATCTTCGTTTCCACATTTATGTGGTGGAGATACGCTGCAGCTTGGCTGGGGCACGAATGGATCGGTTCGACCGGATTCGAACACACGACTTTTCGAGTTTGCGGTGACCCCACCATATAACTACTATCGCTTAATTTTTTATAACATGGCTTCATGTTATTATAAAAAAGTAAAATTTAAAAAAAATTTTAACCTGGCTTCAAAAGTATATGGACACCAAACTAAAAAGGACCAAGTGAGCTGAGTTTCTATGGACTAAGACGGATGATCACATTGTTTATTACATTAGCGCTCGGTACATCCTCTTTGAACGTCTCATTGGTCTACTGGTGTAGGCGCGACTGCAGTTAATGAGTACCCGGGTTCAGATTCCGGGTTGGGCCAAAATCAGTTATTAGATTTTTCTGTCAATGATCAGAAATTTTGGCGGTTTCGTCTCCGTATTTCGGTAAGCACGTACCCGTTGATCCTGCACACGATTCTCTTCAGTCATGTC